TGGCGTTTAAAAGGCACCTTTATTTCTAGTGTCATTTTAAACCGTCCGGTAGTTCAGTTTTGTCTGACTTGAAGCTGGAGGGGAGGAAAGACAGCCGGCCAGCCGCCAGCTGAGCCCCTTTGAGAGACATGAGGGCGGGGAGAGCGAGCGCCGTGTGTGTGTGTGAGTGTGTGAGCGCGAGCGAGCGCGTGCGCGCGTGCGTCTGCCATACGGTGGAGGGAAGGCCGACCGCCGTAAGGCTGCGAAGGGGGCCGCGGGCGAAGTGGTGAAAGGTGGCGACTCTTTCCCTCCCCCCGCCCCCGCCCGTGGCCCTTCGGCAGCGTTCGAGGCCCGGGGCCAACGGTGCCGCGGGCGGCGGTTGGGCCGTTCCGTTCCGGCTCCTCTTAACGCCCCGGCGCCAGCGGCTGGCTGAGCGTGTGTGAGGGGAGTGCGTTGCCGCGTCCGGAGCTTCCTCCTTTTTTTCCCAGCATTCCACTGCAGTAAAGGCAACGTGGTTTTTCTCTCGGTTCAAGCATGTGATTTCTTGCTGAGCTCCCCGCGGGGGCCTTGTTGTGGGGCCCGGCAACTCTGGTGTGTGGCTGACGTTTTTTCTTGACTTGGGCCCTGAAGGAACCCTCGTTAGGGCGCTTCCCCCCCCCCTTCGCCTCCCCGGCCAGAGACTTGTTGGAGGCCCAGGGTGACAGCGAAGCCTGCGTCAAAGGCAGAGAGAGGATAGAGAGGGAGGAGAGGGAGGGGAAAAGCGAAGCCTGCGTCAAAGGCAGAGCGAGGATAGAGAGGGAGGAGAGGAAGGGAGGGGGAAAAAAGAGAGATTGGGCCTTCCGACTCCCACGTTTTCCATGTGCGTCTCCGTTCTTTTGACTGTAACGTATAGTAGTTTCTCTTGGCGGTGAGGGACGCTCCCCATACGCCATAACACCCCCTCCTTGCTCCCAAGCCCGAAAACGCACGTGCTGGATAAAAACCCTGCTATAATGAAAGTGGGACAAAGGTCTGAAATGTCCACGTGGGCTTATTCTTTTGTAGATTAATATAGCTGGCCACCTCTCCCTTCTGTATTTTAAGTAGACAGGCGCACCGGCATGTGGACTTTCAGTCATCTTGATAGGTTCTTTCTTAGATTTCAGTCGAAGAGGTCTAAGCATTAATTTTGGGGTACAGAGAGATTTTGAGGTGCTGAGGTCACTCTGGAATTCGCTGTCAGTTTGCTTCCCATTAACTGCTTTAGATGAATCAGAAACTGTTCTGTATATTGACAATGTTAGGAAGCTGCTTCTTTTATTCGTAATATATTCTCTTTCCAAATGTAAGATTTTGGAGGCACTGCCAAGAAGAGTGTAACATGAAAAATCCTCAGCTTGATGATATTTTGTGGGTATCTAATAGACGGGAAATCTGAACTCATTTTGGTGCTGTTCAGAGAAATGAACAATTTAGAACTGATATCTATTGTGAAGCCTCCCCAGTTGTTTAAATTGTGTATCAAAGATTAGTCATAGGCTTCTGTACTGTATGATGAATCATCAAATTTTTCTGACTTCTGGAAGAGAAACATTTCTGCAGCACCTGGCTGAAATAATTGTCTCTCCACGCAAAGTAGAGGACTGCTTTTCTGCAGGTGCAGTGGTATAAAGATAATCTTAAATAATAGAGTTTAGCATGTACAAATGTCTCTGTTTCATAAAGTGTAATGTAAAGTTTCATAATGCTTGCTTATTGGAACTAATTCAGGAATGAACCATCTGCAGGTTAAAGTCCCAGAGGTTGTTTTTAGAGAGCTCTGTGTAGTAATCAGCACACTGAGTGCTTGGGAGACTTAGCAGGTGGAGTAAGTTGGACTTTTTTCCTTTATCTTTTCGTAAGATAAATACAGGAATATATGATACAAGTGCAATTTATTAGCGTGTGTTTTTGTAGAAAGGTGAATATTGTTGATAACAAATGAAGCCATTTCAATTGATAACTGTTGCCCATGGTATCAATATGTACTATTTCCTTCGTAAATTTTTAACATAACCTGTACAGCCTTATTTGTTGTTGAGTTCCTGTTTCTGGTAGTAAGATCTGCAGAGGTTATTGGCATATACTTTGGATCCATTTGCACAGGGGCTCTCCACCAACAAGCAGAAGAGCTTAGTATTAAAGTCTGATCACATTATTCCTGGCTAAAACAGGTGTTGCAAGCATTTATGCTACTTGGCAGCAGTGACCATAACTCGGACAATATTAGTTTTGGCAAATTATTCCGCTCTTTTCTTTTGTGACTTTGTTTTTTTCTATTCCTTTTTTTGAAACCACATTTGTTACATAAACATGGTACTGGTGAATACCAGATTGAAATTAGGAGTGAGTAGAAGTTATTTGATGAGTTGAAGTTAATTACTCGAATGTTGTTAATGTTTATATCAGTGTTCCCCAACCTTTTTCAAGTTAGGGCCCCTTTTATAATAGCCATGTAACCTGCAAGCCCACCCCACTTTATTTGCATAACAAGCCATTTTAATTAAATTAGGCATCCTTCAGTCTTGAGAGACTATGATAACATGGTCTGTATGGAGGACTTGGAACAGCATCTAGTGCGGCTGAGAAGGCCAATTCGAGAGTGACAATATCATCCACACTGAAGACAAATACAATCTGTCCCCTGTCCAGCTGTCTGATTTTGCTGCTTTCGGGCCTGCTTCTTTGCCTCGGCCTGCTGGACAAGGGTCTCTTCAAATTGGGAGAGGCTGTGATGCACCGCCTGCCTCCAGGCTGAATGCTCAGATGTCAAGGTTTCCCATCTGTTGAAGTCCATTCCTAAGGCCTTCAGCTTGGCCCACTTGTCTTGGCCATTTTGGCATTGGGAAGATGAACGAAAATGGCCAACACTTTTTGGAGTTTTGCTGTTATTATGGTCTTTGTGTTAGCGACATGTTCTTTAATATGAAGCTTCAACACAGAGTTTCCTGGAGACATCCAAGATCCATTTTAATAGGATAAAGAAAAAACATTAAAATAGATTTTTCAGAATAATTCTAACCTAATGTGTTAATATTAGAATTTAATTCTAACCTAATGTGTTAATATTAATGTAATAATACATAATTGGGGGGGGTGTAAATCTGACTCTGCCGATAAAATTTGAGGAGAGGGAAAATGTTAATATACTTTGAGTTTAATTGACTTTTTTGGAGGTGGAAACGACCCTCCCTTAATATGTCTTCCTCCCGAAAAGGCCACACAGTGAAGATCCCTTCCCTCTAAAGCTCAAATAAACACCACCTGCATGGTCCCTGCTGTGGGCCCCATGCCCTCCCCGGTTCTTCTCTCTCACCTCAGGTTTATGCCCCTCTCACCTTCCTCTTCCATGACTCAGGGTGGGGTTCAGAGACATTTCATCAGCCGGTTCCTCTTGTTCACTGTGCCACCATTGCTGCACCCACAAGTGTCAGGCAGAGCAAAGGTGATGCCGCTGCAACATCTTTTCAATCCTGCCACCGTCTTGGGCATTGGTGAGCATCGTGCGTTCACCTCATTCAGGCGTTTTTGAGCCAGGCTAGTGATCAGGTTTGAAGGTCCGATGTCAGTCCTCCAAAAGTGGATGTGGAAGAGCAGAGAGAAGCAAGTGAGAGCAGCTTTTTCAGATGGCGTAGGAGTGATGTACATGCATAAAAGGAAATCTGCCCAAAGGGAGACACAAATAACTAAGAACTCTAGATTGCCTCTGTAAGTCAAAAGAATTAAAGTAAAACAGCATTGTGTATACCATATCTAATATAATAAATATAAAAATAATTGCAATTAAAAATAACCACAGTGACCTCCCTGCCTCAAAAACACTTTGCGACATCCTTGGGGGTTGTGACCCCAGGTTGGTTTCTTAATTATATACAGTGGTGCCTTGACTAATGAACACCCCTACTTACAACCATTTTGACTTACAAACAGCTCTGGCCACAAAATTTTGCTTCAACTTACAACCGGAGCTTTGACTTATGACCGGAAAAAAAATTATGGGGAAGGCAGGGAGGATGGGAAATTTGAACTGCTTTCAATTAACCATTGGTCATTGAAGAGGCTGCTTCTCTGTACCTTGTTCGCCCCAGTGGTTAGAGAATGAGGATACAGAGAGAGACACCGGACTGCCTGGCACGTACTGTACTGCCTGGTACTGTACTGTACGTACTGTATTTTTTTTTTGGCTTTTTAAAAAACTTTTTGCTTTTTGGAT